TGATAACGATGAGGAGAGTAACTGCGTCAGTTAGCATTTGTAGCTATCTTGGGGTCTTGGCTCTTCTCGTGCCTTGCCCATGCTGTTGTGGATTTGCATATAAGGGGGCTTGGTTTTTCAGAAGTGATTCAGGTGAGTTATTAGCCTGATTATGAACACGTTTTCAACGTAGATGTTTGAAATAGTCATTGCGCTCTATTGGGTCTTTGCCATTTCAGCATGAACGATGTATTTTTGCGATTGGGCCCCTTTTTTCATCCGATCCAGAAATGGTAGTTTCATTTTATTGTATCTGGTGCTTTCCGAAAATTACATTTTGCAATCTATTCGTCTAGCAAACAAAAACTAAATTTGTTCTAGTCACCAGCTCGGAAATATATCTAGCCAATTGGAACATGGTGAATTTCTGTCTACTCATGATTGCACACTTTTTGGCTAACAGGAGTAATTTACATGAAACAACGGATTTTTTTCGAGGCGCACACATGGTTATATATTTTTGAATCCCTAACATCCCAAAGAGCGTAATATCCGGGCTATAGTATTTCAGATATATTTGCCATATCCTTCAGTAGCTCGGCAAATACATTTTCTGCATCAAGACTCGGCACGTAGCCCCTCGAATGCGGAGCGACCTTGATCCCCGTTTCTGAGGTTCAATTTTACAGGCTTCAGTGAATCGAAGAAAGTAGTTATGACTATATAGGAGCTGATATCCTATCCGGTTGGTCGACCATTAGATTCCCCGAAGGCTGACATGAGCAACATAATTGTCCAGCCTGTGGTAGAGCACAGGAATGGGGACGGCTGTAGTTGTCATTTCGTATGTTTACGACTGTACAATTGATAGCCACGAGCCACGGCCAGTTTAAAGATTGCCAGTTTTTCCAACATTTTTCATGACAAATTTACTAACACATTGCTCCCCCACACCACCAAGATGGGGGTAAACAGTTCGTTCTTAAATAGGACCGGTTCATCCTGTGTGACGATTTTGCCAGGTAGGAAGAAAACTGGAGGGAGCTTTAAGATAAGCACTTTAACCCCCAACGT